CAGCTCTATTGTACAGTAGCTTTTCTGTTGTGTGGAGTGAGAACACAAGACAGAAACAGTCCTCTAATAAAAGAATAGGAAGAGTTTTTAAATTGTTAAACATCTACCTTTGAGCCTCTAAACCCTCTATGAAACACTCTTAATAGCAAGCCACTGAAACAGCAAATCAAACTGAGCAAACCTTTTTGTTGTAGCCATATGTAATCCTGATCTGTGTGTGTTTGTGTTTGTTTGTACAGGGTTGCAGTGGAAGTTGTATCCACAAAGACCACGGCTGATGTGATGTGGAAGGACGGGCGGATGGAGAAGGGGATCCGGTCAAACGATCTCATCCCCATCCAGCACCTCGACAGCCACGAGTTTTGTCCCGGGGACTTTGTAGTAGACAAACGACGTAAGGAAAATGAATCGAATCGAATGTTTAATGATTAATTTTGTTTTTTTTTATTTTACTTTATTCACTTTTTCAGACCGGTGAAGACACAGCGTGTGTCAGATTCCTGTCCCTGTGGACTGCAATTAGATTTTTTTATATAGGCCAGTACCTACAGTATCTGGGTCATTTACTGAAACTATGCCAAGTTTTTGTCTGTCTGTGATATGGACTGAAAGTACAGAGATGTAATTTAAGGCTGTAATGTTAGAGCCAACTTAACTTTTCATTTCTTCCAGACAAATACCCTTTAGGTGTTTGTATTTAATGTGTTTTGATCTCTAACTGTGTAATTAGTTAACTGTGTCTGTGTGTGTCTGTGTGTCTGTGTGTGTCTGTGTGTGTCTGTGTGTGTCTGTGTGTGTCTGTGGTGTGTCTGTGTGTGTGTGTTCTCTCAGCTCAAGCCCTCCAGGACCCAGGAGTGTATGGCGTGATCCAGTCTGGTGATCACAAGGGCAGAACATGTGTCGTCAAGTGGATCAAACTGAACTCCTCCAGTGACGACGTGGAGGTCAGTCAGGAAAACAAGACTACAGTGTAGAAATGAAAAATAGATTGGTAGTATTACAGAGGGAGGTATACACTATTAGTAGACAGCCTTACGATGTGATAAGTGGCTACTTCAACTTTATAATAGAAAGGAAATGGGCCTGTATTTTCTTGCTTTAATCCAGGTTATCGGTTTGGAGGAGGATGTCAGTGTGTACGACATTGCGGATCACCCAGATTTCCACTTTCGCACCACAGACATAGTCATCAGAATATGGAACTCAGAGAACGGACAGAACGACTGCGAAAATGAGGTGAGGACAATATCACCTGTCTGTCTTTCATACAAACTGCACTGAAGGTGTTCCTATATTTAGTCTACTCTCCCTAACATAGATCAAATATAAAGAAACACCTCTCAGGACAACACAGTACAGTTCAACAGCACCACAAACTGCAGATCATGATCGTACACATCTCTGAACATTATGACCTTTATGAAGGTGGCAATTATATATTATACATAGTGAGGCTTCGTTCTTTTAGTCAAGTTGATTTTATTTGTTTCCTTAGAGCCTCTTAGACCCTTCTAGTCTTGTTTTCATATTGTTTTGCCTGTTGTTGATAATGGCTGTAACTTTGCATCCTCCTTCCCTCAGACATCAGTCGGCCAGGTGTCCAGAGTGGATGTGAGCAGCAAAGTAGAGGTGGTGTGGGCAGATAACTCCATGACCATTGTCCTGCCACAGGTAAATCTTTCTCCTCGATGATATTGAATGTAATTTCTAATGTTAGTAGTGAGACGTCTGTTGTTGATCGTCTCCCCTTATAATCTCACAGCACCTCTACAACGTGGAGTCTGAGATCGAGGAGACGGACTACGACTCGGTGGAGGAGACCAGCAGCGTCCTGTCCACTGAGGAGTGGGAGGACGAGAGCGACAGCTGGGAGACAGATAACGGCCTCACCACTGAGGACGATGGCCATGTCAACAATGCAGATGCCACTGACACAGCGACCCCGACCCCCACGCCCACTGGCTCCACAACGTTCATCATCCCCCCTCAAGAGAGCAGCAAGGCCGGGGTCACTAGCCCCACTAAAGGAGTCCCTGGGGAGGAGGGAGAGGCGTCTGTGGCTGTGGCTAGTCCTGCTTCTGGAGGAGGTGGGGAATTCATTTTGAAACATTTATTATATTTTTATTATATTCTGTTATTGTTAGTGTCAGCATCATAGTGAAAAACATAAATCATTCTCCTTAAATCTTGCTTGTGTTAATAAAGTATTAGTTCTAGTAAAGTTTATCTTCAGGCAAGGCCATTTTATTTATATATCACAATTAATTAAACTCAAAGAATTTTGAATAAATAAAAGATCTGTGAAGTTGACTCACTGTACACACACACACTGTATTTCAGTAGAAGTCAATCAAGTGTCAGAGTAACATGTTTGACTGTGCTCATGAGGAGCCGTTTGTCTTAAATTGTTTGAATAAGGTAATATTACACTTGTGTGACAAATTTGATGCTATATTTTTTTATTTGCAACAAATCCCATGAAAAGAACAACCAACAATGAGCTGATCCCACTAACAAGTACTGCTAGTGAAGCCAAAGCCTGATGTAGCCTCATCCTCTGTGGCTCAGAGCTCAGTTGTTGTCCAAAAAAAAATTAAAAACCCATTTGGGTTCATTACGATGAACACAGGCACTGTGATTCCTTTTGAGTCGACCTCACATTAACTGCCCTGCTGTTGTAAATACTCGTGTATTCATCAGCGGCTGAAAATTCTCAACATATATGTTTAATCAAAATTACAGAGCACAGTTGGTTTAGGAAATTGCTCAGCTTCTTTTGATAATTTAGGTTACAGTGTGTAAGATTTAGTGGCTTCTAGTGGTGTAGTTGCAGATGGCAACTCCCTCGCTTCAGCCTCCCTTCCAAGTATGTTGAGATGAACTAGCTCAATGTTGATTTTGGTCTTTTGATGGGATTTGCTGACAATAACAGAAATATAGCTGTTATATGTTCAGTCTTGTTAAAATTGGTTTTCTGCATTGACTGAAGGGTTTTTTTTCTGGACAGGACCACGCTGTCTAAAGGTGATCCTGAATTTGAAACCAAACAGTAAATTAGTTTGATTACCAAAACAGTGCCCAGTGAGGATTCAAACATCAATCAATGCTTTCACATCCCAGAAAATGTTCTACCTTTGTCCTAATTGACATATCTCTAATAATACTAGCAGTACTTTGTTATACACTTATAAATTATGCCTGCTTAGGAACCACTCCAGGAGCAGTCAATGGTGCGGAGAAGCCCTGTAAAGATGGTGCCTCTCGGGGCTTCAGGGAGTTGAAAGAGGCCTTGAAGATCCTGGAGAGCCTAAAGAACATGACTGTGGAGCAGCTCTGGACCGGCGGCTCCCCAACCTCCCCAACCTCCACTGAACCTGCTTCATCAACTCACGTAGCTACTTCTGTGACACCCACGGCCCCCGAAAAACCAACCAAGGAGAAACGCTTCCTGGACGACATCAAGAAGCTGCAGGAGAACCTGAGGAAGACACTGGACAACGTGGCCATCGTGGAGGAGGAAAAGATGGAGGCCGTGGTGGAAGCAGGGGGGAGTGGAGGAGCAGGGACAGAAGTAGGTGTTAAATCCAAATGAATGAGTAGTAATTAAGTGCCAGGTTTTGATTTTTTTTTGTCATTATGTCTTACCTGCTGGTCTGTTGCTGTTCAGGTAGAGAGAGCTGGAGAGGAAAAGCCCCAGCAGGAGCCGCAGACACCGGTGGGTGGACAAGAATGGCCCAGCGATTTCCTCAGTGACACACCAGTACTGTGCCAACAAAGTGGTGGCAAACCTGGAGTCACCTTCACCAGTGCCAAGGGAGAGGTGTTCTCTGTGCTGGAGTGGGCACCAGGTGAGAAATCGGGATGCATGTAGAAGAAATGTAAACTCTTTTCCTCCTTGTTTCCTTCTCTTGCTCCTTGTTTCCTTCTCTTCCTCCTTGTTTCCTTCTCTTCCTCCTTCCATTATTTTCCTTTTTCTGTCCGTCTGTCCATCTATGTCTCCTTCTTCAAACCGTCCTTTAGTCTTATTTGGTTGTTTCATTTTCACCTTCCACTGTCTCTTCCTTCCTAAAAGTCTTTGGCAGTCTCTACTCTCAACTTTAATTGGATGAATGAAAACACAATCAACCAAACCAGATAAGTCATCTGAACTATACAGACATCCAGCTCCTCCCAAGACACCAGATTATCTGTGTTGTGCTGTACGAGCTGATATGAAAGAAGCACATACGACATGTACTTATTCTCATACATTTGAGGTGTTACTAAAATTAGTTTTTTGGATCTTTAAATTTCCTTGCAGTTTATGTTATCAACCTATCTGCCTTTAAACTGATACTTTATGGCTCAGCATGTCTTATATTGTGAACATAGTTTTCACTCACTCTTCTCCATTACTGTGACTGACGGTAGCTGCCTCCCATTTCCATTCTGTAATCACACTTGTCTGTCACAAACACACACATCCCTTTACTCGATAAATTCCCTGCCCACACAGGCTAAGTTGTATTTGTAAACTTTCTATTTCTTTCTGTGTTGCTATCCAGTCACCATCTGTTCATCCTCTCTCTCTCTCTCTCTTTAAGACACACACTCATTTAAGAAAATGGAGTTTCAGCCAGCGGAGGCAAAGAAGTTCTTCAGCACAGTGAGGAAGGAAATGGCTCTACTAGCAACATCACTGCCGGACGGCATCATGGTCAAAACATTTGAAGATCGTATGGTGGGTTTCCTGTAGTTCATACAGTCTCAAATACGGGTCAATAATATTTTGATCTTGTGAGATGACGTCCAAGAATAATTTCATAACCTGTAGCTGCATATCACCCTTTGTAAATGTGCTCAAAATATTTGCAGAAGTCATTTTGAAAAAAGCAGGGCCAGTATTGAAACGGAGCATTAATATTTAAGATAGAATCTGCCAGTCCTGATGATCCTGTGCTGCTTTATTCTCCTTATCTGATTGTGTTCTCTGATAGTAACCTCAGTGCTACACATCAAACAGCCTCCTTTAAATCTCACTGACTGCATACATCATAAAACATGTCATAAAGCTTTTTTGCCTTCTTCGACACAGGACCTGTTCTCAGCTCTGATCAAAGGGCCGACTCGTACGCCCTACGAGGACGGGCTGTTCCTGTTTGATATCCAGCTGCCAAACATCTACCCAGCTGTGCCGCCTCTGTTTCGCTACCTTTCGCAGTGCAGCGGCCGCCTCAATCCCAACCTGTACGATAACGGCAAGGTCTGCGTCAGTCTGCTGGGCACCTGGATAGGAAAGGTGAGTGTTGTTTTACAGGTTTGTGCATGTACAGGTATGTTGTCTCATTTAGATACAATAAAATACTACTGTGTTACAGTTTTGGGTCAAACCTAAACCAGTTTAAACCTTCTCTTGTGACCCAGACTTGATCACAAATTATGATCAAGCTTCTCTAACAACATAAAAGAAATTGGAAAGCTTTAGTTTTGTCAGTTTCACTGCTTTCATAATTCATGTTTCTGTTCCCTGTGTGGATGTAGTTTAAATAGTAGGGTTCTGCACACAAAAGATTTGTCCAATAACTGATTTGGCTGGATTTGCTGCCAGTCACTGGTTTATATCCTTGTTAACTGAATATTTTCAGCTTGGATTTCTCTGTATAATTGTGACGAATATTTGTAATTTTTGTCATTTTATAAATTAAAACAACATGAGATACAAACACTGCGCGATCTACAGCACAGAGTATGTCAATTGTCAGTATAGAGAACTCTGGTCTCTTAGGAATTGGTGCTGATGTATTTTTTGTGGTCATGTGATCCACAGGGCACTGAGAGATGGACCAGCAAGTCTAGTCTGCTCCAAGTCCTCATCTCCATACAAGGTTAGTGCGCTCTCTCTCACACATACACACACACTTCCCCTTCTCTTCTCTGCAGCACAAAAATGTTTTATTCATCTGTTCATTTGCTCAGAAAAGCTCCAAGTACAGTGTCGCACACATTCATTCAACTTAATATGTCTGCCTCACACACAGACATTACACCTCTTCCATTAAAAACATCTGCACTCTGGCCTGCCAGACAAATTGAGTCCAGATTTTGGTTGACTTTTTTTCTTGACCCAAATCAGTATCTTTAGCTCAGAGTTAACACTCCTAAATGTGTCTAACTGTACAACACAGTATCCATTGAATGTTTGCGTCTCCTCACCAGACTGTGGTTGAAATGTCCTCCACTACACAGTGGAATAAGCACTCTGATCTGAGACTCTCAAACCAGGCTCTAAATGCTTCTCTCAGTAGAGACTGAGGACTTTATTCTGACTTCTGTTGCTAAAACTGGGTGGAAACAAAAAAAGGAACCATTTCAAAGTCTTTTGGATGGCGATGAGAAAAAGATGTGGAAACTGTGTGCTTGTAAACCCTGGTGTTGTATAACGTTGCTCGCGACATCTATTTGACATACAGGTAGAAAATAATGAGGCACCAAACATTGTAGTTATATGTACATCAGTATTTACAAAGTGATTATTTTGGTGCTGCCATAGCATCCAGCAGGTTTTAATCTGAGATAGGCAAGTGGTAGGTTTTTATCACTTTTCAGCATCAAACAGATTTGATAATGTTTAAGTAGATCACTGAACACTTAAATTACTGACCGACAAACTTAAACATTTTACACAATGTGTCTTTCTGCAGGCCTTATCCTCGTCAATGAGCCTTACTATAACGAGGCCGGCTTCGACAGTGACCGAGGTCTACAAGAAGGTTATGAGAACAGCCGCTGCTATAATGAGATGGCCCTGATCAAGATGGTCCAGTCTATGACGCAGCTCCTCCAGAATCCTGTGGAGGTTTTCAAACAGGAAATCCAGGAGCACTTTGCTTCTAACGGCTGGCGGCTCGTCCACCGTCTGGATGTGTGGCTTGAGCTGAATGAAGGTGCTGAGAGGGGCCAGGCAGCACACATGTCCTCCAGGTCTCAACACTCAAAAGACCGAGCTTCATCTGTGGAGCCTCTGGACGAGCAGCTGCCCCTGGGAGCGGGGCCCGTGGCAGTGGCCCACAGCAGCCCCAGTAAGCCTGGGGAGGAGGGTGTCACAGGAGCAGGAGTTACCAGTATTATGGAAGAGGAGCTGGAGGATTCAGGGTTGAGTCCCTCCACTACAGCAGCCTCTCAGCAGGAGCTGAGCCAAAACTCAGACTGCGACAGCACCCAGGGGAGCGCCTCCCTGGGTGGTGAAAACAAGGGTGGCTCTACAGTCCCTGGCTCTGTAGTCCGCGGCGGGATGTCAGAATCGGCATCAGCCACGGTTAGCGGAGGAGGGGTGAGCTCTACAGGAAGCCAGCCGGTGGTGCGACCAAAGAAACGGAGAAAGAGCTACCGGAGTTTCCTCCCAGAGGGCAGTGGCTACCCAGACATCGGCTTTCCACTCTTCCCGCTCTCTAAGGGGTTTGTGAAGAGCGTTCGAGGTGTGCTGCTGCAGTACCGAGCTGCGCTGGCCGCCGCTGGCATCACTGAGCACACAGAGGACAAGTAAGTGCCTCCTCACCGTTCCCCGACTCACCTCTGCACTGTTCCCTGCTCTTTTCCTCCCTCTCTTCTACCTTTTCATCTGCCTCAAGCTGTAGAGGAGGAGCCATTATCTGTTGTCTGGGGGAACTACAATTTTCAATCTTCTGTACCCCTGTCCAGAGCTGCACTGTGCCCCCAGCACTGCCCACGTTTTTGTCCTTTACCTCCATTTCTTTGTCTGTCCTGCTCCTGCTGCCCCAAACTCCACATTGTACTGCTTTTTTCCCCCCATAATCCCCCCTCGATCAAACCGCAACTGCAGGAGAACAGCACCTTTTTGATCAGGAGAAGTGAGCACGTTCTGGTTTGGATACGACTTCATATTGTTTCTGTTCTCCCTCAGTGTCTCTACAGATGAGTGTGATGAATAGAGAGAGGTGGACCTCACATGCGCAGTTACACAAACCAACGGGCGCTACCCTGTCACATAGGAACCCTCATCTGTTCATGGACGCAGGTAAACACACAGAGCTTTTTACTGGAGGCAGTCAGTTTCTCTTTTGGCCTCAGCAGGACTTCAGTGGAGGTGGTGTGGATGCAAACAGGACTGAATGAGATGAAAAATCAGTGCCATGAACCCTCTTTCATCCTCCTCATCCACCCAGCCTCCAGCGGCATCCACCATATGGGCAGAGATTTGCTGGATAACCACTCTGCCGTCTCAATCAGCCTGAAAAATCTAAAGCAGACTTGTGATCTTCGCTGCATTTTGGGACGAGGTGAAAGGTGGCTGGGTTCCATTGGAAAAAAACTGCAAGGCCCAGCTCACCTGGCTGTTGGGCCAACTGCGGCTATCTGTAGCACTACTGATACTATCGCTGTACCATCCTGCACTACCACAAACGAATGGACAATCTGGTCTTGGAGAGGTGACACTGTATAAATATGCTGACCAGGAGGATTCTTTTTAAATAGAAATCACTGGTTGTACGCTTTCTGCCAAATTCTATCTGTCCACAAACACACAAATATTCAAGTAGAACGTACTGAATGTCAGTAAAACTGCCAACCACAACAGCTTTGCCACTTCTTCCACTACACTTGCTGGTATTTTTCCTTCGCCAATCACTCGCACAGAACCACACAGCAAACATCGAGTGACAAAGTTTACATACGAATCACCTCTGGAGGTCAGACTGCTGTAGCTGTTTGGTGTGAAGAGAAGCCAGCCAGGCACAGGATGACTGTTAGGTGGCTCTATGTGAAGGTGTTTGTACTCTAGTCAAAGCTTAACACAGCTGCCGCCTCTATATACAAAAGTTCCATTCACTTTCTGTAGAATTTAGCAACGTTTTTCGATCACCAAAATGAAACTTGTGCTTTGGTGTTTTGATGCATTTGAGGTTGTTTTACTCACAGAGGCTGAACTGTACTTTGAGTGGAGCTTTACCCACAATGCTACATGTGGCCGTGACAGAGGTGAACCCACATCACTGCAAATGACACAATTATGATAAATGATAAGTAGAAAGAAAACATACAGCATCCATTCCGTCATCTCATGTCAACATGTTGCCTTACTTGAACTCTTCTTAATGATCTCAGACCATTGTGTACAGAGCTGCTTGTGTCATGCTTTAGATATTAACCTATACAGGCCTAGTCCTACTACACACGAAAAACCACTAAAACCCTGTTCCAGTGTTTTCCTCCTTTAATACTGCAGATCTCTGATCAGTTTCCCCCCGTTATCGGTTCTTAATCCTGAGCTTTTTGCACTGCGGCCATTGCTGTATTAGAATTTTTCCAAATTGCACGTGCAGAGTTTAGATCAGAATACAACCTACAGTATGTGTGATGCTGAAGGTTTGTTGGCACTATAATTATCTTGCTTGATTTTTATTATTTCCTGTTATTCCATGTTTTCCCCCGACTCAGCGTCTTATCCCACGAAGGCGACTGCTGACCCCATTGACCAGAGAAAAGTACAGCACACGGACAAAACTTTAGCTGATAGGACTTCTGTGTCTGTGTTCTTTTTTTTTCCTCTTTTTCGCTATCTGGCAAAAATCAAGGTTTTATTTACCAAGTTACCATAAAACTCTTTGATTTGCCGCTGATTGTGCTGTAATTAACTGTGAACGAAGGTCACCTTTGGGTCCAATCGTGCTTCCTGGGGAAATCAGAGCAGTCTTTGTTTACATCTTTTTAAAAAAACTGCATCCCACCTCTAACATAATGTTCTTTTATTTTTCTTTCAAGATATTATGAATCTCAATGTAATAATAATTATTCTGATTATAACACAGGTCAGACAAACTCCCGTGCTTGCTATAACCTGTGAAATAAACAAGCGAGCGTCGGCTGTCTGGTATTTTACTTGAACAAAGAACCTTGATGCTGAAGAGTGTTTCTGAATGAGAGAGCACACTGTGCCATTGTGAAATATGAGTGATGGGAGAGGATACCATGAGCCAAGAGTTGCTGCGTTTTAAAAAGACATAAAGAGAAAAAAATTTAATCTCCAAAATGAGGGTATTTGTTTTCTTTGTCTTCCATTTTTTTTCCCCCCACGACTCTTAAAAACTGGCATTCCTGTACCAGGTGTGGCAATCAGGCCTCCATGACACCTTGTCCTCTTCCTGGATTTGACTCCACCGTCATTATTTTGCTGCCTTTAACGCTACAGAGGAGGGTGTGTCGTCTTCTTGGCTGGCTGCTGTAGCCTTGTTTGCTTTCTTGTCTCCCTTTTTTTTTCCCCCCTCCACATGCTGCTGTTTGTAAAATGTCACCTTTTGCAAATTCTTGGAAGCAGTGTGTTTAAAAATGCTCAGTCTGAAGACAAAGAGATCACAAACACACAGTCTCACCAAGAGTTGAGAGGTGACATTATTGCTCCATCTTTCTCATTTCACAGTCGCAGAAACAGAAAATGTGAAGTTATCTCGCTAGGAACTAAAATCTGGCAGGATACAGAGCACACGATGCTATGTACAATTTTCTGTGTATGTGTATAATATTCAGATTTAAACCATTATTATTATTATTCTCATTATTATTATTACTACTGCGAGAAGTATGTTTTACAGCCAAAGCATGTAACATGTTGCTTTAAGCCTTGTGAATGGGCTACACACAAGACTTGACTGTACGATGTCTACATTTCCACAGTGGCCTGTTTATTGATATATTAAAAAAGAACTAATAAAGTTATGATTTGTAGCCTGATTCCCTCTGTACAGATGTCATGACTATATTGAAATATATAAATACACACAGTATATATTTAACACACACCTGAGTTCTAACAAGTCACGTGGATGCTTGGGCCATATATGTACAAAATGCTGAGTGTGTTATTGTACTTACGATTTCATTTTTTTTATTGGTTTACTTTTGTTGCGTTAAGACAAACTGTATAGTGATGTATTAAACTTTGCAAGCGGTACCATAGTAACATTGTGGCTTTTATTTATTTGGATCCTTGTTAGCTGTTGTATTAACTCCAGCTTTTCTTACGGATGATTTTAAAGGATAAGTCTGGTGGTATTCTCTATTTTTATTATCACCAAATAACACGAGAACACCAAAACCAAACAACTAATTAACAAGTAGGTCCTGTGCAGCCAAAGCCTGCTATTGTTTATTGCTTTCAGCCATAGAGCTCCAAAAAAACAATAAAAAAACAGTGAACCCCAGTGTCACACTGGGTGACATTGGTTCAATACGATGAACAAAGCCACTTTGAGTCAGTCCCACGTTTGTCCTTCAGGTGTAAATACTCATTAGTGCACCAACTGTGTATTAATCCGCAGCTGAAAATGGTCCCAAACTAATTTTTCTCCTGTTTGAGTAGATGTGCCAAAAACTGCAGTGACCAGCTGTTTCAGGAAATTACTGAGCCTTTTTAAGATGAGCTACGTGTGTGTGCCTGCTGTTAAAGATTTATTTAGTAGGAACCAATGGGCGTGAGGAAGATGGGTAGACAAGGTGGGGAAGTCAAAGTATTGAGGCACAAACTAACACACTGTTGGCTTTGGTCCTTTCATGAGATTTGTGGCAGTAAGAACAATACAGAATAAAATGACCCTTTAACATGGCTGTTATTCTGGTTTCCTGCAATGTTTTGCATGCTGTGGTATTCTCTGTGCAAAGGAGTGTCAGTGTGGGTGAGTTTAAGTAAACCTATAAAATGCTCTTTTGAGTTTCCTGAGTTTATGCAGAAGGGAAACCATGTATATCATCTCTTATATTTAGGCCAGTGTCAGAAAGTATATTTAGTACATCCTTCAATTTACACCTGATCTAAATATAGCCGGGGTTTGCACCCAACCTTTCTTCACATTTTTAATCTCGGATCATAACTGAGGAGACTCCTCTGAGGATTATACCTGTATTAAGTTTAATGATAGACCAAATGATCGTAACAGCAGATAAATACTTTATATCTTAGTGTAAGAAGATGAAGTCACAATCACAGGCTGGTTGTTTGTCATCATATTTATTTATCAATTAAAAACACTCCAGCAGAATGTTTGATTTGATAATAGAAAAATTACAGACATTTGTCTAATGGAAAAATAGATCTCTCTGTGGATAAAGAATCATTCAATCTTCAGTGTGCCATGGAAAAATAAAATAAAGATTCCCTTCACCATAAACATTTACACACAACAGTTGAGAAGCAGCAGGTGAAAAGACATAAACAGCAAATTAACAGTCAGACGAAGTGAGTTTCTTTCATCTGTCTTCAAGCTGCCGACAGAAGAATGTACATCAAGTCCTTCATCACTGCCAACTTTATCAGTCTGGTTTAACTCGTTTGGATTTCCAATCACAGACCTGCACACTGAAATTAGATTCAGGCTGAAGCCGTCGCTCCAATTTCTTCTCCATAATGAACAGATGCTTAAGATCTCCCCAGTAACCGATAAACAGACATCATGGTATCAATATTAACATTTAAAAGTTAAACTGTTGGGAAAAGCTTTGTGCCACAATTACACTCTGGGGAGATGCCAGAAATTAGTATTTTATTAAAGACACAAGTTTTCTTCTAACAGAATATTCAGTTTGTCTGTTTTCCTTCGAGTATCAGTTTTTTGTTTTTTTAAAAAAAAAAATGATGCTGATAAAAATAAACAGTTTTTAAAATCAGCCAGTAGCAAATGAGAAATCAGTGAATGCACCACTGTGTTCAAACCACCAGGAGGCAGCACAATCAAGGCACATCAAACAGAAAGACCACTGCATCACTCACAAGAAACCCCACTTTGCATAGAAATAAAAAAAAAAAAATGTATGAAAGTGGCCTGGGTCAGTAGCACTTTCTTTTTCAAGTCCATGTGTTTTTTCTGTTTAATTACTCCATAATTTCACATGTTAAGGCCCCTAAACATATTTCAAATAAAACAATCTCAGCAGCTAAAATCTCTTTGGTTGCACTTGGGTCACAAGCAGATACACTGGCTTCATGTTAAAGGAATCACAAGCCAAAATGGTTTGGAAACACCGTGTTGGAAGTACAGTGTGTCAACGTTTCCCTGGCCTCAGGTTTTGGGGCTGCAGACCACATTTGTCCCCTAAAACAACAGCAAGCATATTCAAGTACTGTTTCCATTTTACGTGTTTGTAGTTTGTCAGCTGAATTCCTGCTGCAGTCCTTCATGAGTAAACATAATTCAAGCCAACTAAATGAGAAATGAAATGACAGAAAATCAACCTTGACGTCCTGTGAAGGCTTCAAAATGGCATTAGCAACAAGCTTGTGCAAAAACATGTATAAAATATCTTTTTAGAAGAAATAAATGTCGGTCTTTACAGCGTCAAATGTAAATGTGATTAAAACGTGAAAATCTTTGCTTTTTCTTTCTGTGAAGTCCACAAATCGAGGCATCGACATCCAACCTTCCTTGTTGTTTGTGTTTAAAAATGACAACCACAGTCAGATGTTACTTTTGTTGCACAGTGGATGTCACCGTCAGCCCCCGTCTTCCCCTCTTTCCTAATTCTACAGTTACTGTGTGCATTCGCCTTGAGGTGAAATAAACACATCCATCGCTCCTTCTCTCAGTGTCAGGACAGTTCACTAATGCTCCCAAATGATTTCTTGCAGTGAGGAGGAAGAATAAGGGCGCTCTGTCAGGAACATAACGCCGCCTACCTCATGAAGCATTTAACAAGTCGATATCTCCCCCTCTTCCTCCCTCCCTCCCCTTGTACTCCCTATACTCCCCAGTGTGCTGTTTTAACCAGCGTCAACCAGCCTCTTTGTATCCAGATCAGCTTTTTGTAAAATAATGAAATGAAGATTTGGATCATAATTAAAATCCCATTAAATAATCTGAAATCCTGACTCATCGCTTCCTCTATGTGACTTAAAGCTCAATGGTAAGGACACCTAGGTGATGATCATTAATAAACCTCCCATAGGGACAGCCTTTGTTTGTATGTGTGTGTGTGTTTTTGAAAAGCAGCTGGGGCCAGAGGCACACAGACCTGGGACTGCTCTGCAGAGCACTGCAGTGCTTGTAGCAGCAGATGGATGGAGGAAAGCAGAGAGGAAAGAAGAATGGGATGGAGGGATGGAGGATGCAGCCAAAGAGGCACTAAAACACATCAATCATCCGTCCTGGGAGCATAGCTGCAGGAGTCGCCGATCATATTTAGACTGTTTTTATCAGTCTGTGATGTTCAGCACATTTCACAAAGTGTTTTTCACAATTTAGGCGTAATTAACTTTCCTGCCTCTTCCTGTATCTACTTCAGTTAGTGACGGCTAAACTCAGTAATTAAGTTATTCACATGAATGGCGTAAATCAGCATTCAACAATTAAATAGAGCTTGTGCTAATAGATGCAACAAATGGGTGGATTAAAGAGTCAGTTCACCCAAATAAAAAAACAGTATTTTCTCTTTGACCTGTAGTGGTATCTCGATACCAATGATACGGTCCATGGTATTTTGTTTGTGGTGCAATAAATATAATCCACAGACCTCACTGTGACCAGTTTCCACAGAAGAGATAGTCCTGATAGAAACTGCTGACAGTGACATCTGTTTACTTCTTGAACAGAAAAACTGTTCAAATAAAAACAATTACTATTAATTATTGAAGAAATCTTTTTAAAAGGAGAAATTAGAGTAGATGAGCACCATCGTCCACTACTCCACCTACTGACCCATCAAGAATTCAAGTTAAAGACTTTTGGCCTTAGTTGAGTGTTCGAGGCTCTCTGT